AAGTCGCCAGCTGCATTAGCCCCTAACAAGAGAGTCAGCCTGTCCTCTGCAGGTTTGAAGCCAGGCATAGCCTTCTCTCTAGCTGTGAAAGTCCCAGACGGCATCTTCTTCCAGTATAAAGCTGCTTCGTCTACCCTGAAAATCTGTTGCTTAGTGTAGCCGCCTTCATCAATTACCTTAGCCAGAACTTCTGGACATGCTGCAGCTTCTGCATCAGCGTTTGTTGCTTCAATTTGCACTTTGATGTTATGGAGACAGCTTCTTTCCTTAACCCTCATGAACCAACCTCTGCTAGCTTCAAATTTTTCTTCTGCAGCTTCCTCACCTCTCTCAGCCTTCATAGAATTGACGAGAGTTAGGACCTTGATCTGGATTAGCTGTGGCTGGTTTCATCTTCTTTCCAGGCCACTAAAACTTTCTCCATATCAGCAATAAGGCAGTTTGCTTTCCTATTATTCATGTGTTCACTGGAGCAGCACTTTTCATTTCCTTCAAGAACTTTTCCTTTGCATTCACAACCTGGCTAACTGTTTGGCACAAGCTTTTGGCCTATCTTGGCTTTCAACACGCCTTCCTCAGTAAGCTTAATCATTTCTAGCTTTTGATTTAAAGTGAGAGATGTGCTACTCTTCCTTTTACTTGAACACTTAGAGGCCATTGTAGGGTTATTAACTGGCTTCATTTCAATATTGTTGTGGCTCAGGGAATAGAGAGGCCCGAGGAGAGGGACAGAGGAATGGCAAGTTGGTGGAGCAGTCAGAACACACACATTTATCGATTAAGTTCACCGTCTTACATGGGCGCGATTTGTGGCACCCCAAAACAATTACAATAGTAACATCAAAGATCACTGACCACAGATCACCATCACAGATATAATAATAGTTAAAACGTTTGAAATATGGTAAGAGTTACCAAAATATGACACAGAGACACGAAGTGAGCACATGCTGTTGGAAAAATGGCACCAAAAGACTTGCTCGACACAGGATTGCCACAAACCTTCAATTTGTAAAAAATACAATACCTGGGAAGCACAATAAAGTGAAGCACAATAAAATGAGGTATGCCTGTATTTAAGTGGTTTTCAATTTTTCAATATTATAAATAATATTACATTAAACACCCTTGCATTTAAATCTTGGTGCGTATCTCTCAGTATATTCTTAGGAGAAAATTATACTTGTAGAGTAGTTGAAACAAAGCATACAAAACACTTTAAAAATTCATTATATATATTATATATAAAGCATTGCCAGTGCCAGCAGCTGAAATGATATGCCGTAATATCATTTATGTCTTAATTTTATGTCTTCTCTCCTCATTTATGTCTTAATTTTATTTATGATGTTTTGGGCATACAGAAATTTTTAAACTTCATAAACTATCAAACTGTCTTGTCCCTCTGGTTTTGGACTCTGGTATCATGATTAAGAAAATCTTAGCCACCCCCCAGTATGTAACTATTCACTAATACATTCTTCTTCCCCTCTCCTAATCCAAGTCATTTAATAACTCCATCAATCTAGAATTTACTTTGGAGTTTAACATGAGGTAAAACTCTTACTTCTTTCTAAAGTCAACCTGCTAGCTGAACACCTTTCCTTGACTAATCTCTTTTTCTTCTACTGATTTGCATTGTGAGTCTTATCCTACACTAAGCTATTACATATACTAGCGTCTAACTCTGGGCCTTTTCTTTTGCTCCATTGATCTGTTTACCTTCTCTGAGCCAGTTTGACACTGATTAAACGACTGCCTTTTGATAAAGTTTTAAAAACCTGGTGGTGTTGGTTCCCCATTATTCCTTTTCTTTTTCAAGCTATCTTGGCTATTCTTGTCCATTTATTGTTCTAGATGATCTAAGATCCCCCTAGTCAATTAGAAAAAAAGACATCACTGGAATTTCAGTTAGACTTGCATCCATTTTATAGATTAATTTAGACACTATTGACATCTTTACAATATTGAATCTTTATACTGGGAATGTGGTTTAACTCTCCATTTATTCTATCCTGCATTTATGTCTTTAAAAAGGTTTTACAGTTTTCTTCAAACGGGCCTATTAAAAATGATTTCTCAGTTTTGTTTATTTGTATTGCTATAGTGCATGGGGCTTTTTTCATTTTATTTTATGAGAAAGTTTCATTGATTTTTATATAGTGATTTTATGACCAGCCACCTTATGAACTAATCTATTCGGGCTAGTAGTTCTCCAGTTGATTCATTTGTGTTTTTTGGTTAGACAATTACATTGTCTGAGAGCAATGATGATTTTTTTCTCCCCTTTCCAGTAGTTATATCTTTATGCTTCTTAAAGTACATTGCCTATATCTTCTACAACAATACTAAATAATACTGGCGAGAGCAGGCATCTTTATCTTATTACTGACTTTAATGGGTATGTCTCTAGTCGCTCACCAGTAAGTATGATGTTGGTGTTTGAAGCTCTTGTTCATTATCATATTAATAAAATATTCTTCAGTTCCTACTTCTTAAAAGTCAAATATAAATGTGGAATTTTTATCAAATGCCCTCTTATAGCATTCATCAATATAATAACAGAGCGGCTTAAGAAAAAGTCTTTCACTTTTTGCTGTCCTGTATTATAATAAGAGATTTCTTAATATCATTCTTATATTCTCCCATGTGCTCCTCCTTGGCCAGGTTTGTGACCACACTTTTTTGAATGTCATTTTTTAATGTTACACGGAATTCTGCTTACTTGTATTTTAGTTAGGACTCTTGCATTAACATTGAACTCAGCTTTATGGATATACTTCTAAGGATCAGTTATGCAATTATAAAAGGCAGAACGTGGGGTAAAAACAAGGATGTTTTGCTAAGTTTCACAGATTGCTGATCATACCCAGCTTCAGTTTCTTGGCCAATGCATCAATTTGAATGGTGGGATCGGATCCCATCGACAGGAAACATATTAAAGGTGTTCGTACATCGCTTTCTTCCCAAGTTTTCTCCAGATTTAAGATAACTGGTTCTGTGTACTTCTCTTCCAAAGAATCGGCGATATATTTTCTTGCTTGAAAAACAGTACGATCTGGACACCAAGACCTAGAAATTAATACAAGTCAGAGGAAATAAATTCACCATGTTCATTTTTTTTAATCCTATTTAATTCTAAGCACTTATAAGAACACATTTCAATTAGCAAAAGGACAACAAGCTAATTGTCCCTTATACAGATCTGTGTGAGAGGAATGTCAAAGTTTTCTATGCCTGGATAAGTATAAACTTAATTGTGTGGTTTCGGTGCTAAGCATTGGCAAGGAGTAAGGCAGAGCCAGTAACAACACAAGCTGTTGTTGATCTGAAGGAGAACTTAGAAGTCAGCTGATCCAAGTGTCTCATTTTCAAAAGAAGCAACTACTCTGAAACTTAAAAATCAATGATTACTCCATAGGTGCTGAGGCTAACAGCTTCAGGTAAGCAGTTACCCAGTCAAACTAATCATATATACAGGAGCACATTCACTCTTTGACAAATGTTGATTGTCTACTACATATCAGGCTCTGATCTAGGTGCTGGGGATTCAGCCGGAATCCAAGGGAAGTGTCCTCCACCAGCTCCAGTACATGACAAAGGCCAACCTGCTGTGCACTCTGAAGCTCTAAAGTTTTAAGTGGGTGAATCAATGTGTCAAAGGTGTCAAAAGTTGACACCACTTCACACCCACTAGAATGGCTATTACCAGAAAAATGCAAAATAACAAGTGTTGGCAAGTACGTGGAGCAATTGGAACCCCCGTGCATTGCTGGTGGGAATGGAAAATGCTGCAGCTGCTGTGGGAAACCGTTTGGTGGTTCCTCAAGAAGTGAAACATAGAATTACCATGTTGTTGTCGTTCGATCGTTTTTGACTCATGGCCCAGTAATTCCACTCCTGGGTATATACCCAAAAGATTTGAAAGCAGGGACTCAAACAGATCCCCGTACACTAATGTTCACTGCAGCATTACATAACAATAGTCAAAAGGTGGAAACAACACAAGTGCCCATCAACAGATGAATGGATAAGAAAAATGTGATATATTCATACAGTGGGACATTATCAGCCACAAGGAGATATGAAGTTCTGATACACGCTGCAACGAGGATGAATCTTGAAAACACGCTGAGTGAAATAAGTCAGACATAAAAGGACAAATACCGTATGATCTCACTTACATGAAATGTCTAGAATAGGCAAATCCATCGAGACAAAAGAAGACCAGTGGTTATCAGGGGCTGGACGAAGAAGGGAGTAAGGAGTTATTGCTTAAAGGGTACTGAGTTTCTGGCTGGGGTGATGAAAAACTTTTGGAAGTGGATAGGTATGACGGTCTCACAACATGGTGAATGTAATTAATGTCACTGAATTGTACACCTAAAAATGGTTACGATGGTAATTTTTTTGTTATACCTATTTTACCATAATAAAATGTTTTTAAAAGTTGATCTAATTGATTTAATACCATTTGTGTACTGTATACTGTAGGAGGTTCCACACACACAGACATATTAAATAAACGTCATTTGACATTTGATATTTTAGCTTAAAGACAAGCTCTTCAGATTTTTTTTTGCCAGGGGACTGCACTATTCATTTGACATAGATCCAATTTTTAAATGATGATTAAAAGATAGTCACATCTATTCCAATAAAAGCAAGTAGCCTTTTTTAATATTCTGTACTTCCTGAGGTCAGCACTGCTGACCACTCTGGTCACTCTCGAAGGGAGACAGTATCTAGGAAAAACAACTTTTTCTAAGGAGTGAAAGCTCAGGTGTATAACACTATGAAAGACAGACTGCTCCAAAATAACCTACAACAGTTTGTGATTCTTTCGGTGACCTAATCTCCCCCCAAACTCCACCCTTCCTTCTTGCACTCTAATCACACACACACACACACACACCTCAATGGCTCTTCCAATATAAAGGCCTCTTTGAGCTAGTAGATATTGAGAAAATGTGAAAAGTGAGGAGATGAATGTTCTCTCTTAACATCAATTTCAGACTTTTGCTTCCATTTTAATAGCCAAAATAGCATTTATACATTGCAATATATTGTGCAATACACCCACTGCTCTTTATCGACATGGCTAAGACCAGGTCGTTATGCAAAAATCGGTGTTACGCAAAAATGGAGGATGACCATATTAGATCACAAAATGGGGGATGACTACATCATTACATAACCACCAAATTACATCATTACATAACCACCAAATATATCATTACATAACTGCCAAACCACTGAGCATCATGGCACAGCTAAGCTGACACATAACCTTGACCATCACAGCCAGCATTACTCTCGCCTTACACCTCAGCGTTTGTTACTGCCAGATGTACATCATTAATGTGCAAAATAGGCAGACAGTAGTTTTCTTCTTTACTATTGTCGTAATGTGAAATGTCGGATAACAAGATAGTTGATGAGTGAGGAGTAGGTGTATTCTTGGTTTTTCTCAGATTCAATTTTAGCTTAGAAACTAATTGCCTTGTGAGTTTGTGAGGTCTGTTCGTAGTGGTTAAGAGCTCCGCTGCTAACCAAAGGGTGAGCAGTTCGAACCCACCAGTTGCTCCTTGGAAACCCTATGGGGCAGTTCTACTCTGTCCTATAGGGTCGCTATGAGTCAGAATGAACTTGATGACAGTGGTTTTTTTTTTTTTCTTAAGAGGTGAATTCAACAATAAGAGATTTTCTCAATGCTAAATGACGAGCAAAGTGAATAATAAAAATGTCTTTTTCACCTAAAAGCAGTATCACTAATACATTGTCAAAATATATCACTCCTGCCACCATAACTATTTTATTTTACTTGTCAAGGAATAAAAGAACTGTCATCCAAATTCACAATTTAGAAGCACATACACTTCTTATAATAACTACAGGGACATAGTGCAGTAAACTCCCTGGGGTAAAATCTATAATTTACCGATACAATGAGTGATGCTTCTAGGTCTGATGATACATAGTCTCACCTGATAAGTAAAAGTTTGCGGCAGGTATCCAGCGAATCGTTATATCCATCAGGGATAATTTCCTCCTCTGGAGAATCTTTGTCAAACCAGCTTTTCCACCCCTTCTCATTCCGAGATATCTAAAAGAAACAAGGCAATTAGCAAGCCATAGGAACATATGCGTTTGGAATACACTGGAGAGAGTTCTGTACAACCTTAGAAGGTCATTCTTTATAAGCAGGTAATTTTTCAGGCATAATAACACAGTTTCAATTTTTCTTCAGAATCGACAGCTTAAATAAGTGTGGATACTACTATTCCCTAGCAGATTTACCACTGTTTTCTACATTATTCACTAAAATTAGGATCATACAGAAATTAAACCAAATGGTTGGGCAGGAAAAAACATAGACCAGGGTTTCTCAGCCTCAGTACTACTGACATTTTGGACCAGGTAAGTCTTTGTTGTGGAGGCTGTTCTGTGAGCAGCCCTGGTGGCGCAGTGGTTAAGAGCTACAGCTGCTAACCAAAAAGTCAGCAGTTTGAATCCACCAGCCAACCCCTGGAAACCCTACAGGGCAGTTCTACCCTGTCCTGTAGGGTCACAATGAGTTGGAATCGACTCAACGACAACAGTTTGGTCCTGCCTAGCGCAGGAATATTAGCAGCATCCCTACCTACTTTCTACTAGATGTCAGTAACAAACTCCCCACCCCCAAGTCATGACAAAAAACTGTCTCCAGATATTGTAGAAAGTCCCCTGGGAAGGAGAACAAAATCACCCTTTGGTAGAGAACCACTGACACAGACCACCCTGATATCCAAATCGTTAACTGCTCACTCAGCTGTTATTCATTTGGTGCTAACTGAGGTTGGAGGTTCGAGTCCACTCAGAGGCATTTCAGAAGAAAGGCCTGATGATCTAGTTCCAAAAAATCAGCCACTGAAAACCGACGGAGCACAGTACTACTCTGACACACATGGGGTCTCCATGATTCAGAATCAACTCAAAGACAACTGGTACTGGTTACTTAAAATGGTAGCATATGACAAAATCAGAACTTTTATCTTCTCAGTGACCCCCATGACTTGAGACCTTCCATCTAAGAATGGAAGCAGTGTCTCCAAAAGGTGGTCTCAAACATCTATTCTTTCAGAAGCATGGGAAGAAATGCAGGGCTTCAGAATGCTGCCAAAATGGATTACAAAACTACAGATTAGCGAGCCTGATGCCACTCTTCGGCAACAGTCAGGCTGGATTACTCAGACAGTGTTTGTAAGCACTTTTTATAACGCTGTGGTAAGCACTAATAGCAAATAACAAATGTTTATATAGCAGATACCATGTGCCAGGCCTAAGGATTGTACTTTTACTTCTATTATCCCCATTTTTTTACAGATGAGGAGACTGAGGCATAGAGAGGTTAAATACCTGCCCAAAGTCATCCATCATGTGACCAGTTCATCGTGTAAGATATATCATAGGGCCCCGTGGTTAGGATATAGACAGGTGAGAATTAATAACAAAAGTTATTCTGTAACTCAATTGCTCTAGCTTTGTCCCCAGGGCTCTAAAACATGGAGGGGGCAGGTTTTGAAACTGCCAGCTTCCTCCTGAGAACCCAGTGGCTCTCCCTGGTTGGCTGCCCTCCAAGAATCTGTCTGCATCTTACGGGGAGGATCCAGGGGCTGCTGCAGCGGGACCCTACTGAACTTGTACCTGTGTACTGCTACCCACAGTGCCCCCTGCAGGCCTCCTGCAGGCCAAAGGCCAGAGAGAAGGAGGCATAAGAAGAAAGAGGGTGTTTATTCTCAGCCTACTGCCTTCCACCTGCTAACTTTGGCTCCACCACAATAGAGCTTCTGGGGTGAACTGCATTAGTGATGGGCAATGGGGTGACTTCCAGCCCCGTGCAGTCCACCTCCATTTCCTGCCCCCTTTCCTGACCTTCATCTGTGAGCACAAACCACCTCCAGGCATTAAACAATTTGGCCTCAGAGGTCAAGGCCAGGGCAGCTGCTGTTGGAGGTTATTGTTGTTACAATTCCCGAAACCTACTCAGCTGGGAGATTGATCTTCTACTTCCTCCCTTCCTTCCCACCAACAGGCCAAATCAACAGCCACCTGATGACAGGTCACCACTGAACTTTTGTGACCTTCCTGAGAACTGCCCCCACCTTCACTTCTGGCCCTCCAATGGTGTAAGGGGAGTTGAAGAGAAATAAATCATGATGCCATGGGAAGAGCATGAGATCAAATTACAGCTCTGCCACGTATTAGCTATGTGGCTTTGAGCAAGTACTTAACCTCTGAATCTCAGTTTTCTCATCTATAAAATGGGGACAATGATATTTCCCCTGCAGGGTTATTGTCGTTGCAAAGTATCTCTCCCATAGTAAGCAATAGTAGCTAACAGATCCTATACACAGACCAGTAAAATCTAATTGACAGAGGCAAACAATAATACATATCTCTGTACTATATCCACCACTCATCTGACAGCTTGTTGTACTGTAGTGGCTTGTACATTGCTATGATGCTGGAAGGTATGCCACTGACATTTCAAATACCAGCAGGATCACCCATGGTGGGCAGGTTTTAGGGGAGCTTCCAGACTAACATAGACTAGAAAGAAAGGCCTGGCAACCTACTTTCGAAAATCAGTGGACCTCAGAGCACCTTAAAGAGCCACAGCACCTTAAACTTACACTATTGACTTCACTCCTTGGGGTGCAGGAATTGTTGCCAGGAAGCCCCATTTAAAATGGCCCAGGTCTGTCTGGGTTTACACATCTGTCCTTTTAACCAGTCCTTTATTACCTGATTCATAATTTCTGCAAATTGTGGAAGTTTACTCAGCTCCACAAGATTCAGCCAGGTCATATCAAGGATCCAGCGAAATGGTTTGGGAGGGCACGCTTTCAGGTCTAGGGCTGCTCCCCCTGTGGAAATGTGTCATGCAGCATGAATCACGGCAGCTTGTACTTTGTTTTCAGAAATTTATTTTTCAAATAATAAAAATGAGATGACCATATTACAGAAAATGTGGGAAAATATCATATTACAGAAAATGTGGTTATCTTATCAGTATATTTCCTTCAAGTCTTAGTGTTTTATTTTACTGATTTACATCATTTTATAAAATGCAGATAGGAACTCATTGACAGTGCTTCCTGCAAAGAATTTTTCTTAGATGGTTGCAACTGCCTCCCTTTTTATTTTTTTTAACAATCAGAAATTTAGGATTGTTGTATCAATGAATAAGCTGATCTTTTCGCGTGTGATTTTTAAAATCACTTCTTAAATTAGTCATCACCCTTCCAGAAGTTTGATACTCAATTCTATTTTTAGAGGTTAGAGAGAGAGATGGGGATTGATGGGTGGATGGATGGATGGAAGGATGGACGGACAGTCTGATAGACAGACAGTTATTTAATACATTTATGGGGTTTTTTCAGGGTGACTAATATTTAAGTCATTTATTTGTTCACTTATTCAACAAATATTGAGCACCCGCTATGTATCCAGCATGTTCTAGGCACTGGGGATACAGCAGAGAAAACCAGACAAGACCCCTGACCTCCTGGAGCTCGTGGTCTAGTGGAGAATGTGAGTACCATATTTTTACGCAAATAACTTGCACGTTCAACATTTGTCTGCCAACCGCGCCCCCCTCAGATATTTTCATAAGCACGCTATGTTAGTTTTTTTTACAGCAACATGTAAAAAAAATTAGCATAGCGTGCTTATGAAAATACCCGGGGGTGGGGGGGAGGGCGCAGTCAGCAAACAAACACAGAATGTAATTTGTGTAAAAATACAGTATAGCATCAAACCATCCTTTGAAGCAAATACCAAGGCAGGTGAGCATATCTAATGTGGCAATTTTCCAACAAAATATGTGATTATATATAAAATTTCAAAAATCCTCTATAGCATGTCTTTAGTAATGTCTTCTAATAATTCCCACTTCATAGCTATTTGATTCAGGTGTATGCAAAATAGTGATTCCTGAACTTTTAAACCCTATAATCCTCCTTAAGAACTCATCAAATCCTTCCACTTCACATAGCAACTCTTGGGCAAAAGGGGAAGGCAGAGGATTGCAGATCTTTGCTCTCTCAGCCTAGCACGCTCCTGAGACGGTGCATGAGCTAACACACTCCTTTCAGGTAAACCCCTTTGCTCCACCCCTGAGAATTTGGGGTCGGTGGCTCTGAGTGTCACAACACCTTTAGAATCTGTAAACCCTGCTCTCACTGCCACCCTTTCTCCTCCACAACCTGGTAAAAGAGAAAGCCTTACTCTAGCACCATTACTTCGCTAGAAAAGAACATCATGTTGGGTAAAGTAGGCAGTCAGCAAAAATGAGGGAAATCCTTAATGAGATGGCTTGACACAATGGCCACAACAATGGGCTCAAACATACCAATGATCATGAAGATGGCGCAGGACCGGGCAACGTTTCCTTCTGTTATACATAAGGTCGCCATGAGTTGGAGCCAACTTGACAGCAGCTAACAACAAATGCACCATTGCTGCTAATACTAAGAGTTACTGGTAGGTTAAGCAACCGCTAGAGAAAGCTACTGGCATGCAGTCTTAACTGATTCTGTTTCTCTAATATGAGTTCATCCTTTTTCTTGAGTGTCTCCAAAGAAATGTTTTCATGTAATCACACGGCTCAGAGACATCAAGAGATGACATCTAAGCTACGTCAGTGCTTCCAAATATAATGTGCACTTAAACCAACCTAGAATAGTCAAAACTCATCCTATTACCAAAAAGATCCCAGCTCTGTCACTAACTAGCCATGTAAATTTGAACGAGGGACTCGGTTTCCTCATCTGTCAAATGAGTGTAACCTACCAGATTGGTTGCTGTGAAGATTAAATAATGTATATAGAAAGCTTAGAACAGTCTTTGCCCATAGTAAGGGCTATGTAAGCATTAGCTGCTATTTCATCACTAACTCTAACTCCCTCTACTTTGAAAAGTCTAGGTCCAGTCCAACTTGGAAGGCAAGAGCTGATCCCCTAAGGTGTCCTTTTTATCCATGTCTGTGACAAAAGAAAGATACTGTCTTTCTAAAACAACCAGGCAGGGAAAACAAGCACATCACTCTACGATGCAGGACTGCCTCTGGTGTCCATTTCATTTTTAAAGTCCCCTGACATTCTGGGTGGAAGAATCAAGTCAAAGGCACCTTACAAATATTGCAGAAAAGAAGTAGTAATTGATACATTAGGACTGTCACTCTTGGGAAATCAAACATTTCTGCCATGATATGTCTCTTTCTTCCTTTCCCCTAAGTGCTGAGTTCAAAACTGATAAAATGTGGTCTATGATCTTGGAGCCATATTTGTTAAGTTTGTAAAAAAATACATTGAAAACAAAGTCATAGCATGAAATAATTCTGTCAAAAGATAAGCCTGTTCAAAACTAATACAACTGTATAACAAACCAGCTTTGTTTTAAAAGCTCTTTTACTGCTGAGCCAATTGTACTTCTATCAATCAATCTATCGTACAAATCTCAGATTAATCTTCCTAAAGCGCTGCCCTGTTGATGGTACATCCCTGCTCATAAAACTCGATGGCTCCCTACTGCCAGCAGAATTAAATCCAAACCTTTCACTAGTGATCCTAACTTTGTATAATTGAGTTCTCCCTGACTCTCTAGCTTTATGATCCAAATGGGTCCCAACTACACTCACACTGCAATCCAGATGTGTAGCCTTCTTTATTTTTCTATAACAAATCTAATCCTCTTCACAAATTCCTTTGCACTGGGCTGCCATGTCTCTCAATCATCTCTTATTTACATACTCTCTTTCAAAGACCTCAGTCTCTTTCAGGTAATATCTCTGAGTTCGGTTGTATTTGCTGGGGGAGCGGGGAGAGGGGAGTGGTGGGAAGGGGGGAGAGTTATATCTTGATAGGGCAGAGACCTCGGATCTCCTCAATGCCCTCTAGTCTCTACTTGTCTCAGTCACAGGCTGGGATCCCTGTACTGCACCCTCTGAGCTACAACAAACCCTGTTTGGTATGCTTTTGTACACAGCCCGAGCACTGGGCCCTGGCCCTTCGTCTCCAGTTACAAAGCCACCAGGCCCTGCAGCCTCTTGGTTCAAACCCCAGGCCTCTGCTGTGCACTAGGCCCTCTCAACATTTCCATGTGGCCTCCCTCCTGCTTGCCAAACTCCAGGCTCATCCATCTAGCCACTCCCCTCCATCCATGCTGCAATGCTGCTTCCATGATTTGTTGGAAGTGGCACTGGGCAGAATGCAGGGGCATCTCCTACCTGGATGTTTCTCCAGCAACCCTCTCCTGAGGTTCAGCCTCAGGAATGCATTTCCTGTGGTTGGGAAGATACCTTGAACAACAGACTTCCTTCCACCTCTGTCTTCCAATCCTACACATGTCTACCACGTTAGTCCTCCTAAAGAATCACACTGATCATGTCACTGCCTTGCTCAATACCTTACAACAACTCCTTGTTTCTTAACAAATCAACAAAACACTTCCTTTAGGAATCAAGGCTCTCCACAGTATGTCACCAATTGACACAGCCAGTCTTTCTTCCCATGAGTCCACCATATGGACCTTTCACTCCAACTGTCTTAGTTAGCTAGTACTGCTGTAACACAAACACCACAAGTGGGTGGCTTTAAAGAACAAAAATTTGTTTTCTCACAGTTTTGGCGGCTAAAAATCCAAATCAGGTTCTCGGCCATGTTGACTCCTTCCTTGTCATTAGCCAGGGCCTTTCTTGGATCCTTGGCAATTCTCACATAACATCTATCTTCCCCCATGAGTGTCTCTATGTCTTATCTGCTCCTTTTATAATTCAGAAGTGATTAGATTTATAACCCACCTGACTCAGGTATGATCTAATTAATTTAACAAAGAAAACCCGATATCAGAACAGGATTGTATCCACAGGTATAGAGGTTACGATTCTAACAAATATTTTCGGGGGTGTCATGGATTGAATTGTGTCCCCCAAAACATGTGTGTAGCAACTTGGCTAGGTCATGATTCCCAGTATTGTATGATTGTGTTATCTGATGCGATTTCCTTATGTGTTGTAAACTCTATCACTATGATCAGATTATATGTGATCTCTTATGTGTTGTAAACTCTAACACTCTGATGAGGTTATACTGACTAGGCTGACAAGATTAGATAGTGTCTTAATGCAATCTCCTTCGAGATATAAAAGAGAGAAGTGAGCAGAGACACATAGGAACCTCATACCACCAAGAAAGCAGTGCCGGGAGCAGAGCCTGTCCTTTGGACCTGAGCTTCCTTGTGCAGAGAAGCTCCAAGACCAGAAGAAGACTGATGACATGGACCTTCCTCCAGAGCCGACAGAGAAAACGTTCCCCTGGAGCTGACGCCCTGAATTTGGACTTGCAGCCTACTAGACTGTGAGAGAATAAACTTCGCTTTGCTAAATCCATCCACTCGTGGTATTTCTGTTAGAGCAGCACTAGATGACTAAGACAGGGGGACACAATTCAATTCATAACACCAAAAACACCAGACTGTTTTCTGTAACTTAAACATCCTCCATTCATGTCTTTGTTCATGCTATTCTGTCTCAGCACAGAATGTGTTCCTCATTTCTAGATACCTTTCAGGGTCCATCTCAAATGTCACTTTCTCTTTTTAGGGGGAGGAATAAAATGTTTTATTAAACTATCTACAAAGAGAAAAGAACACAAGCAAGAAACTGCAACATTTTTACCATGTATCAAATAATCCCTAAAACTCATGACTTAACCCACAAAGGTACATTTCCAAGAAGCTTTTCTCCATCTTTTCAACCATATGTAATCTCTTCCTCCTTTTACACCTAAATAAGCTTTGTTTTTAGCACTCTTATAACACTTCAGTTATTTTGCTTTGTTTTATAGTTACTTTTAAAATAATCTTTATCCCCATTATGTGGCTGTTGTTTCTTTTCAAGCAATGTCTCCTTCATCCTTCTATTTCCAACACTAGCATGGTGGGTTTACATTGTATGTGCTCAAAACATACTTGTTTAATTGAATTGACATAAAAATACCATTCTTTGGTCTTATTAATTATACTTTTAACATGGAAATAAGAAATGAATAGGATTAGTTTCCAATATGAAATACAAGTTGGCCTTTTTTGAAGTCTTAAAAATCATTATACTCCCTTGCTTAAGAACTGCGCTCTTGCAATAGGTAGATCAATCACTAGCATCACTTTTTCTCCCACAGCACAAACAGTTAAGCACTGAGCTACTAACTGAAAGGTTGGTGGCTCTAGTCCACCCAGCGCCACCTTGGAAGAAAGTCCTGGTGATCTACTTCTGAAAGATCACAGCCATAAAAACCCTATGGAGCACAGTTCTACTCTGACACAGATGGGGTCACCATGAATCAAAGTTGATGGTAGGTTGGTTTTGTTTTGTTTGTTTGTTTGGTAATGATGGGCAACAATGATAAAACTTAATTTAACTATTTAACTAAAACCACAGAATTAGCACAGACCTGAAATAAGTTATCTTGTGTAATGAGAACAAATGAATGGAAATCAGGAAAAAAAAAAAGAGGAATGCATGAAAAACGAGTTTCACTTTCACTAGAACACAATTTCTCTATTGTATCATAAAAATGGGTTTACAGGGCATCAGAAAGCATATCAAGCAATATCCTCTACATATCACATTCATATTCCAAATGCTTTACCTTTAATGAGAGCCTGGAATTCTCTGTGCTTAACTGTCCCTCTCTGAAGATCGATCTTCAAGGTCATGAGCAGCACAAAGAGGAATTTGTGGTTTTCATAGAGGCCTCTGACCGAATATACAAAAACTTCATATGTCAGATACTCAATAATGTTTGTAATTCTCTTTTGAGGTAGTGGAGATTTTTCAGATCTACATTTTAAAAAATTAAAGAGATAAGAAGCAATTTCTAAAAGAGTAGAAATACACCATTTTAAGTTACTGCTTTGGGGCAAAGCCAGCGAGGGCCCACCTGGCCATAGACTGGTCAAATAGCTTCAGGAACTGGGCCAGTGAAGTCTGGTACATGATGTTGACCATGCTCATCTCTGTGATGAGGAAATAGAGGATGCTTCCTCGGGTCGCCGCGGGTCGGAACTCTTCCTGAGCCATGTTTATCTTGATTTCGGTCTCTGCAGCTACGTGTAGCTTTTCACTTACTTCAGCTGCTGTCTGTTTGGTGGTTCGGAGGACACCAATGAGAGATTCGTCATCTACCAAGGAACCTGAAGGTCAAATAGGAAAATTACAGACTACAAGATGGAAAAGCCACAAGGCAAGATGCATTGCTTCTGAAATTATCGTGTTAATTTTCAACTCAACTTTTTAAAGCCCTCAGAAGAGTAGATTCTTCAGACATCAAAGGCTTCTAGTCCAATTACTATCCAATGCCTGAATCCCTGTAAATAACTCTCCTGCAGGATTACCCACCCCCACCTGAAAATCTCCTGCAAAGGGGGATTCTCAAGACAGCCTACACAATGGGCCTTCAAATATCTGAAGACAATGATCAGGGCTCCAACCACTCCCAGTGATTTTAGCTATTCCTTGTTTGACATGGCTTTCACTTCCGTTAGCATCTCAGTGGATCTCTTCAAAGTATCACTAGCTTGTCCCTCCAGATTGTCTCATGGTGCCAGCTGATCTGAATGCTACACACATGGGCCAACCCATATGAGTGAGTGATCTTTCTCTACTCCTGCTGCTTCAGGAGAACAGTCCTTGCCACTGAGAGCCCTGGTCCCTCCACGTCTCCAACAAGAGCAAATGTGGACGCAATGTCTCCCTAGCTATTGAACAGTCCTTGGAGGAAGAGAAATCTTTATTTTTAGTTTTATCCTTCATTATTGTTTTTAATAGACACAGCACATGTTCATTACAATAAATTAGTTTTTGAAATGTGGACAGACACATGGGCACGCTGAGTTAACATCACCTTGTCTACAAAGACAGTGCTCCGGCCTGCCTTAGAGTTCTGGATGGCAGGTGAATGTTAAAGGAAGGTGCTGAGTTATGCTGAAGGACATGCTATGTCTACTGTGGATGTCCAAATTGTGACTAACCTTACAGGAAAGAAGTCTTGATCCCGCACACTCTTGGCAAGATCAGGGACAGGGCCCTCAGCTCTCCTTGCTGATTAATTTAGAATGCCCAGAGGCATCTCAAATGGCTGGAAGAAGTCACTGGACCAAGAGACAGACAACTTCACCAGCAGAAGTGGTACAATTAAGGCAGATAAAAGGACTTTTCACCCAGCTCACCTTAAAGGTAGTGGTAGGGACCATTGTGAAAATAACCATAATATACTCTTAGAGGTAAGTTATTTGTTTTTTTTTTTTAAAATCTAGGGATTAAAATCAGAAAATATTCATTATTAGACTGCTAATGGGGGAGTTCCTGGGCAGTGCAAATGGTTGACTGCTTGACTACTAGCTGAAAAGTTGGCGGTTCAAACCCACCCAGGGGCTCCTGGGAAGACAGGCCTGGTGATCTATTTCCAGAAGTTCACAGCCTTGAAAACCCTGTGGAGCAGTATCTGCTCTGCACACGTCGGGTTGCCATGAGTTGAAATCAACTCGATGGTAACTAACACCAATAAAGGGTGGACTGTAGGTTGCTGTAATTTGCCTACTACAGAACAATATCATGTTTGTTAAATGTATTTTCTTTGGATAAATTTTTCTTTTATGTATATTGCAGAGAGAGTAACCAAAAACCAAACCTGCTGCCATCGAGCTGATTCTGACTCACAGCGACCCTACAGCAGAGAGGAGAACTGCCCCATAGGGTTTCCAAGGAGTGGCTGGTGGATTCAAACGGCCAACCTTCTGGTTAGCAGCTGAGCTCTTAACCACCATGCCACCAGGGCAGAGACAGTATGTCTGCCCAAACTGAGGTGTGGCAACGATTATTTGCCCCCACCCCCACCCTAGAGAAGAATCTATCCCTGATTTCTAAGTGGAAGGTTCAATCAAGTCGAGAGTGACCTGGGCCTTTGGTGCCCGGTACCTCTGACACTGATTACACGCGTCGTAACGCACTGCAGTAATTGCATTTCAACACCAAATGATAGAGTCAATCTAGGGAAAAAAAAACAGATTGAGCACATTAGTTTCCTTTGGGCAAGCAAATCAGCCTATTATGAGTTACCTAGCTCTGTTGGGAGCCCTTATTTTTTCAGGAGAGAGCAATTATATCAAGAAAACTGTGTTATTCTCAAACGCTCAGTCTCCATTTGCTAATTCAAACATCCGATTCCCTGCAGTGGCACTCTTTAATGTCTAGATGAAAATTGCCTCACTTGTTTTTACACTGATAACTTGGCTATTTCCTAACATCTATAATCATAGGGGCATTGGAAAGAGTTTACAAGGAATCCTTATCCAGAATCCGTTACTTGATTACTTCTTATTAACACAATACCTTTTGTAGCACTTAATTTATAGAGGAGGTTATCTTCCAGTTCTTTCATCTTCCGTTTATTAAAAGTAACATCCTCCAAAAGTTTAACCCTCTCAGACTCTAACTCCTGTTGTTAAGAAATAAACAATAACATAAGAACTGTAATTACCAATTATTATGCCAATTCCAAATTACTAGTGCTTATCAATTTAAAAATGTTTAAATCAAAGTGCATTCAAATGACAGAAGAAATTACTATTGTTAGCCAAATCTACCCATCTGTGTTTTTGTTTCTCTGGATAATTTTTAAAAATTGTGCCAACTAGCATTAAGCTTCCATAGCACTTGTACTGACATGCGTGAGACAAACCTGCCAAAATCATTTTGCCCGACTACCCCCAGCTCTCTTCCTAGCTCTAAGTTTATTAAGAGGGCCTTGTTCTCTTGGGCCTGTTCCCGCACTGCCTCTGTGAGAAATACTGACTCGATTTGCAGTCAGAAGTGGCAGAAACAAAGAGGCATTAATACCAGGAAATCAAGGGGCTACCCAGGCTGAATGTAAGCTCTTGGCTTGGAATCTGCCTATAGGAATGCCAGGTGCCTTATCTGGCACAGCCAGCTGCCAATTCAAATCCATTTTCCATTGTATTTGCCCTTCCTTATACAAGAGGCGCTAAACTGAGTGTTTAGAAGGTATATGTTTTTTCTACATAAATGATATCTTTTTAAAAATTATATTCTGAAAAACTTCCAAACTTTCAGAAAAGTTGTAAGACCAGCACGATGAGCTCTCCTACATCCTTTGCCTAGATTCTTAAATCAATATTTTGCTTGATCACTTTCTCGCTCTATAATGCTAATTGTTATTATCGTTATTGGTATTGCGGAACCACTTGCAGATGTCATGATCCTTTACCCCTAAATGCCATAGCAAAGGACCAGAACATTTTCACATAAACACAATGCAGTTTTCAAATTCGGGAAATTTAACATTGAAACAATACTCTTACTTAATATAGAGTCTCAATTCAAATTATCTCAATGTTCATCAGAGCAATTTTTTCTGGTCTAATACAGAATTACACATTACACTTAGAATTATGTTAAAAGAAGGTGTTTTACAACTATTCACTTGAGGAAGTTTCTTGAAAAACTTCTTCAGAAATTGCACTAACCAAAAACCAAAACCAAACCTATTACTGTCAAATTGATTCCAACTCACAGCGATCCTATAGGACAGAACAGAACTGCTGCATAGGGTTTCCAAGGAAAAATTGGTGGATTCAAACTGCAGGTCTTTTAGTTAGCAGCTGAGCTCTTAACCACTACACCAGTCTGGAAAGTCTTCCTAAGCCAATTAGTCAATCCAAAGCTAGAGCAGAGCATTCACCTGTACATCTACTATGGCTTGTATTACAACCTCCCTGTAGGTTATTTCCCTCTAACTAGATTCTGTGCATCTAGAGGGCAGGAACTTGTCCTATTCATTTTTGTATTTTTGTACTTTTTTTAATTGTATTTTACAAGAAGGTTTACAAGCAAATTAGTTTCTCATTAAACAATTAGTATACATATTGTTTTATGACATTGGTTGCCACCCCCACTACGTGTCAACACTCTCCCCTTCTCGACTTTGGGTTCCCCATTACCAGCTTTCTTGTTCCCTCCTGCCTTCTCATCCTTGACCCTAGGCTGGTGTGCCCATTTAGTCTCATTTTGTTTTATGGGCCTGTCTAATCTTTGGCTCAAGAGTAAACCTCAGAAGTGACTTCAGTACTGAGTTAAAAGGTGTCTGGGGGCCATATTCTTGGGGTTTCTCCAGTCTCTGTCAGACCAGTAAGTCTGTTTTTTTTGTGTGTGTGTGTGAGTTCAAATTTTGTTCTACATTTTTCTCCAGCTCTGTCTGGGACCCTCTACTGTGATCCCTGTCAGAGCAGTTGGTGGTGGTAGCCGGGCACCATGTAGTTGTGCTGGACTCAGTCTGGTGGAGGATGTGGTACATGCATGGACTAATCTTTCTCTTGTGTCTTTGGTTTTCTTCATTCTGTCTTGCTTCAGATGGGGTGAGATCAGTGGAGTATCTTAGATAGCCACAAGCTTTTAAGACCCCAGATGCTACTCACCAAAGTAGGATGTAGAACATTTTGTTTATAAACTATGATATGCCAGTTGAGCTAGATGTTCCCTGAGACCATGGTCCCTAGCCCTCAGCCAAGTAATTCAGTCCCTCAGGGAGTTTGGATGTGTCTATGGAGCTTCTATAACCTTGCCTTTGTCAAGCTGTGCTTGACAGCACTTATCTTGAGGCTTTGCAGAGAAGGGACTCAATCCAATAAGCATTTGTTAAACTGAAATGCTCTGCATTTAGTTTAACTTCTTTTCTTTTTTACATATGGGAAACTGCAGACCCAGAAATATTAACTCCAAATTATACCCCAAAATGACATATACAACTAGTTCTGGCAGAGACAGGCCTAATACCCTTGTCCTCCAACTCCAAGACTAGTGTTACTGTACCAGCTGGTTTGCAGTATTTAATGGGGTGGTGATGAAGAACATGGCTGTATTTGTAGGGGAATGTCTAATGAATCGTTTTCATTAAAATGATCATTCCTGGGTGGTAGTATAGGAATACGTGGACAAAATGAAATTCCTTCTAAGCAGATACGGAAAAAACAGGCCTGGTAAACACTTAAGTTTTACAGCATGACCTATAAGGCTTATCTGGGAGTGTTGGCATGGTGGAAAGTCCATGAGCTGTTATAGGTGAGATCCTTATTCTCTGTGGGCCTCCATTTGTTCATCTATAAAATGGGGATGACTGCATTAAATATAATGTAGCAAGATGTCCTCCTGCACATTAAATGTGCACTTGGTTTTCTCCAGCAAGAGAAGCACCAGAAAAATCACCTTAGAATCACCAAAGGAATGCCCAAAGAAAAGTTGGTATGGTGCATCTTAGTGCATCTCTTGAAGGGGAGGCTAAGGCCTAAGAAGAATGTGGGTATGGGACGTTCTAGAGACAAGGAGGGCAGCCTACCTTAGACAGTGGAGTCGCTTGCCTTGGAGGCTACTGCAGCCTGCACAAGGGTCCTAGACCAGTGTGGACTCATCTCAGAATAGACCAACAGCATCAGTTGGACCACAAAGGACTAATTTTCAACAGTGCATCATATAACCCTGAGAGGAGATGGCGTATTGGACTGAGGAGCCAGTGCCCTTTCTGCCTGGCCAGGGAAGTGGGACTGATAGCCTTTCTGGATTGCATAAGCTCTGGGTTGTGTGATGAGAACTGAGATCAGGCAGCTAATGAGAGTCAAACCAGACGGTGCTCCTTCCACTCCACCACGCAGGATGCCTTTCAAGGTCCTGCCCCCAAGGCTAACCATTTCTATTAACTAGTTAGGATTTTACTTATTATTTCACTGATTCGTTCTATTTCTCAGGGGTCTGCATCACTTCTCTTTCCCTCCCTGAATGTCTTTCCTGCATGTTTATGGCCATCTGTTTATATCTCTTCCCTGTCCTTCTCTCCCTGGCCATTCCTCTTTCATCTTTCTCATTCTCTCATTTTATGCCTCTCTGCCCTTATTATTTCAAACTTTGCCTTTTCCTAGAATCCTTAATATGAAAATTAAGCTAATACAAACATTCTCATGTGTTATGCAGATGTATTTGTTTACACAAATGTATAGTTTAATCTTGTATCAGTCTCTTAAAATCTTCCAATCTTAAGTTGCTCTTTGTTTTCTTAGAACCTCCAATTATATTTAATTAATATCCCGCTCCGGTACAAATTTCGTTTAATTAAGATAAAGGGACGTCCCCTGTATAAAGATTGTAGTAGTTGAAAGTATTACCGTGGTAAAAATACCCATTCAGAGCAATTTTCTTTTCCTCCGGGATCATTGTTTTATTGAATTTTCCAGGTGTCCCTGGGGCCATCCATAGGACTATAGATGCAGGTTCCCTTCATGAAAATCAACACACCAAAGGCTTACAGACAGAAGCAGAAGAGTGGTGTGTGTGTGTGTGTGTGTGTGTGTGTGTGTGTGTCGTGTGTGGGGTTGGAGGAGAGGTGAGTTATGATGCTTTCTGGCAAGAATTGAGATTGCAAAATGAGTATTTCTTTATGTTAATAAGGATAGAGATGATTTGCTTAATTTTTTATTTTCCATACACTTAGCAGTTTCCCAATACATTTTAAAAGTTTATTTTAAGTAGAAGTTTTTTACCTTGAGAGAGTAATTACCTGTTTCTCTGTCAGAATTACTCTCCTTAGTAACTGATTCTCAAGTCCTTTCATCGTAACGGTAAAATCAATAACGGACGTCTTAGCATTGATCTCAGGGGTAAAGGCAGGGTTTGGTAACTTTGTAGTAATATAAAGTTTAAATGTATCCATGATATCACATTCCTTATCACCAACTTTCACCTACATCAATTCAAATGTAAAATTAGGAACAGCTTCAGGGAGAGCACAAGAAATGCGGGTTCAATTCAGGAAAGGATTTACCAAAGGTAAGGGCTGTGCAGCTAGAATGAACTGTGAAGGAAGTTTATAAAATTTTAATTACTGATCAATAAAGTCTATTAATTTAGAATAATTTAGATTTGTGGTCCTGCCTTAAGATGTTTTAGCCACAACACCAAGCAAATTAAATGAAAACACATCCAAAACAAATGGTGAACAAAGGAAAACACAGATGCATGTAGGATTTGACTTTAAAATTTTACTAAGTGCTATGTTGATTTGTATTTATCATTCTTATCCACTGTTATAGTACAGGAGCTGCTATTTTTTTCCTCACTTGAGAAAATTGTTTCCTACTATGGAAATGTGCTGTATTTATAGGAGGTATTGTTTCTTGCTGCATTTCACAGTTGTATCTGAAGCATATTTGATAACAGAGTTAATGTAATTTTCAAAGAAAAAATGCCTACACTTTATTTTTCAGAACAATTACAGTTGTCTTAAATACTATTTGCAATATATTGAAAAATAACTTGTTTTGCTATCTAAAATTCAAATGGAAATTATAACACTTACAAACAACTTAAATTTTTAATAAATCTTAATCCTGTATGTGATTGAATACTGAGCCACATCGTTAAGGATATTAAAATATTCTGAGGCATCATGCCTTCATAATATAGTAAGAACCTGGGGTCTTTTAAAAGAACTTCAGGAATGTGGAGTCCATAACCTCCTCTGACATGGTAAATATGGCACATAAAAGAATTCACACTATAAAAAAATTTTGCTAAATAAATCTGTTTTTGTTTAATGAGAAATTTTCCATTCTTCACTCATTCACTGATATTTGTGAAATTAAGCTGTCTAAAGTGGACAAACTCAATCAGAAATGCTGATATTCATCAAGAAAGAAAACCAAAGAAGCCTGAAGTAGAGAATAACAACAATTAAAAAAGAAACAAACTGAAAACAATTCAGGTTATCATGAACAATTGGGAACAGTATCCCATAGCTTCCAGCAAAGTCAATGAGTTTAGATTGAAAGTTAATAAAGAGAGAAATGAACAAATCAGTATCTATAGACTTTATTAAAATGTCATTTTCTCTAGTGAGAAAATCCAAGTTTTCATGTATGTGTGCATAAATCCAAACCAGTCAGTTCCAACTCACGGCCAACCCATGTGTTACAGAATAGAACTGCACTCCATAGGATTTTCATGGCTGTGACCTTTTGGAAGTAGATCACCAGGCCTTTCTTCTGAGGTACCTCTGGGTGGGTTCAAACCACCAGCCTTTTGGTTAGTAGCCCAGTGCTTAACTGTCTGTGCCACCCAGGGACATGTTGCTGTTGTTGGGTGCTGTTGAGTCGATTCTGACTCATAGCTACCCCATGCGATAGAGTAGAAGCATCCCATAGGACTTTCTTGGCTATAATCTTTACAGAAGCAGATTGCCAGGTCTTTCTCCCACAGAGTCAATGAGTGGGTAGAACTGCCAACCTCTCAGTTAGCAGCGGAGTTGTTGCACCACCATATATTAAAAAACCCGCTGCTGTTGAGTCAATTCTGACTCATAAGCCAAAACCAAGCCTGTTCTGTTGAGTCCGTTCCAACCCAGCAACCCTACAGGCCAGAGAAGAACTGCCCCACAGGGTTTCCAAGGCTGTAATCTTTACAGAAGCAGACTGCTACATCTTTCTCCCACCAAGCGGCTGGTGAGTTTGAACCGCCAACCTCGTATGTATATGTATCTTGCAAAATCAATTTTCTCATGGCTGCTAAAACATATATAGTTTGTGTGTAACACTAATACATTATTGTTACGACCAGACATGTGTTTCCTTAACACGTTATTTAGTTTCAGCTAAATGGCTACTCTTACCAAGATATTGCTCTCCTCTTGTATTTTTCATGTGCTATAAAAAAATAAAAGGAAACTCTGAATATCAGTTTGGAAATAATTTTTTTTCCAATGTTCCAAATTCTACCACCTGAAGGAACTGCCTTTGCTGCTATGCTCAAAAAGATAAGTAGATGTCACCATTGTTCTTTTCTTTTTTACAATGCTCACCTTGAAAGTGGTGCCTGATTTAATGAAATTCTTTTCTAATACATTATCCAGGGCTGGATCCAGCTCCTCGCGAATGTCCTCAATGAGAAGGGGTCGGCCCAAGGAAAGGCTGTCCTCCAAGTGTGTGCGGAAATATTTATGGTTCAGAGACGTCACCTAAAAATAAAGAGCTCTATAATATATAAATGTTATAGAGAATTTACCCATTCCTAAGTGGAAACCAAGGGATTTACTGGACAGATGATGAAGAATTTTAGGGGCAATATAGGAGTCTTACTTATAACAATAAAAGTAGCAAACAAAAAGTAATTTTCAAAGCTTGGTGAGTCGTGACTTTGTTGAAGCACTGGATGTGCAATGGGGTCTCTGACCGATAGAGGAGAACAAAGTGGCACTCCTTTGACGGAATGTCAGAGCTCTGCTCCTGAGAGATGGAAGAGAAGTAGTCAAGGATTAATCCTTTTAAACTTACATAGCTACAATCACTCAGAGAAAATAAAGTAACTTGCATAATTGTGATATGCATTCATCTTCTCAGGACTCCTGTAAGGTGAATAAGTAAGTGAAAAATAGAAATTAAGCATAAGAATGTCAGAAATAATATATTGAGTCAAATCAAGGGTCCATTCATGTATTCTGTCTCTAACAATGGCACAATGACAGATACTTTGCATAAAGTCAACCTGAAAGATTACAGATAGGTAGATATCTGCTGTCTTAGTCATCTAGTGCTGCTACAACAGAAATACCACAAGTGGATGGTTTTAACGAAAAGTTTATTTCCTTACAGTAAAGTAGGCTAAAAGTCCAAATTCAGGGTGTCAGCTCCAGGGGAAGGCTTTCTCTCTCTTGGCCTTCTCATCAGTGTTCCCCCGGACTAGGAGCTTCTCGGCACAGGGACCCCAGTCCAAAGCACACACTCTGCTCCCGGCACTGCTTTCTGGATGGTATGAGGTCCCCCTGTTTCACTGCTCACTTCTGTCTGTTATATCTCAAGAGATTGCCTCAGGACACAATCCAGTCTTGTAGATCCAGTCCTGCCTTACTAACACAACTGCCACCCATCTTCCCTCATGAACATCATAGAGGCAGAATTTACAACATATAGGAAAATCACACAGTACCAGGAATCATGGCCCAGCCAAACCGATATACACATTTTTGGCGGGACATAATTCAAACCGACAGCTGCCTTTGAGTTGATTCCAGTCCATGCTGACCTTACGTACAACAGAAGGAAATGTTGCCCAGTTCTACCTCATTCTCACAACTGCCAGCATGTTCAAGCCCATCGTTGCGCCTATTGTGCCAGCCCATCTCACTGAGGGTTGCCCTTGCCCTCACTGGTCCACTACTTCATTAAACATGACGTCCCCCTCAAGCAATTGATCCTTCCTGATGGCATGTGCAAAGCAAATGAGTTGTACAATGTTCTGTTGTGATCCATAAGGTTTTTATGGGCTAATTTTGAAAGTAGATCACCAGGCTTTTCTTTTTAGTCTGTCTTAGTCTGGAAGCTCTGCTGAAACCTGTCCACCATGGGTGTTTCTGCTGGTACCGGAAATACAAGTAGCATAGCTTCCCACACTACAGCAGGACAAAGTCAAATTGATAGAAAAGTAGTAAAAGATTATAAATTTACCTTACATATTCCTGCATTTTAAAAAAATTAGAACTTTGAATGCCTGGAAGGGCCCCCCATTTTTAGGTCAGTGTTTGTTTTTAGTTAAAAAAAAAAAAAAAAGACATACTGGGCTGGTTGATCTCTGCATAAGCCAAATGGCTTTGAACTCTTACTTCTTCTATGATCCCTCCCTCAGCCTAACTGTGAGGATCCCCAAAGGCTCACTCTTCAACTCTCTATTCTATCTCCTTATACTCTATCCCCTGAACTCAACTATTGCTGTTATGCTATTGGGGGTGTTGACCTTGACATGAGGGATAATCCACTGGGACAGAAAATAATTAGGAGTGTGGAATTTTTTAAAAAAATCTCTACTTGCTATTAAAAAAAAAAACGTGGAATTGAAAAATTAAATAGGTCTACTTCTGTCCTGTCTTGATTCAAAAGGGAATAACAAAAACAAAAAATCCTGCACATGAAGAAAGCTGTTTCCCTGGACAGATAGTTTTATTTATACAATTGATGTACTGCGAAACTCCTGAGTGTGATAAGAAAAATAAACAGTCTTAGTTATCTTATTAACCATAATAAAAAAAGGTCCCAATAATACTAAATTTAATTATGTCCTGATCTATTTCCCAAGGAGTAAACTCCCTATTTTGTGATTTCCTTCCAAAGTAAAGAAATCATTTTCATATTATCAGTTTATTTGAGATTAACCATTTGCGATATCTTTTACAAACTTGCAATAACGTCTTGGAGTCATAATTTCAGGTTTAATTCATGGGTTCTTTCTTGTATAAAAACACTATGTGGTTAGCTGCTGCCAGAGCCTGTGGGTATTTACAAGGTGGTCAGTGAATTCCTGATAGAGAATGTGGTACAGTGAATTGTTTTCATATGGCCTTTCTAGCCATGGTTGAAACTGCCACAAAATGACTGGCTGAGACAATACAAAAAAGGTGTGCAAAACTGCTGCAGGGATTGGACAGCAATTATGCAAATAAGGTGCCTGTGGCCTACCAAGGGAATTGGTCAGTTTTGCCATCCCAGTAGGCTTAAAAGAGCCAATCCCACAGAGGTTGAGGGGGACCTCAGTACCATCAAGAAGAAGAGCCAGGAGCAGAGTACATCCTTTAGACTGCGGGTCCCTGCACAGAGAAACTCCTAGACCTAGAAGACAGAGCTGTAACACTGGAAGCAGCATGAGATGGCAGTGGCACAGGACTGGCCGCAGCACAGGACTGGCAGATGGCTGCAGTGGGGTCCCAGGCCCATGAAGTGAGAGAGCTGAGTGCCTTTGGGCAGGAGGCTTCCTGGCAGAGTAGGGTGCCTCTGGGAACTTGCTGGTGGAGCTAAAGAGCTGTAACACTTGTTCGAGCCAGAAAGAGGCCAACAGTGAGGGCTGGCAGGAGGTATGGCTGACAGCGAGGCCTGCCTGCCTGCGGGCATGGCAGAGAAGGAGCTTAGAGGTTGGAAGCTGTCCTAATTAAAAACTATATCCTGTCTCCTGAGTTGTTCCTGTTACTTCCAAGTTGATCCTGATCCTGATTTGTAACCCATTACTTCCCTAATAAATCCCATAATCATGAGTGTGGTCTGTGAGTTCTGTATGGCCATTGCAACGAATTATCAAACTCACCAGAGAAGCAGAGAGTGCCATGGGGAAGACGGCTGGTGTCCAAAAGGGTGAAAAAGGTTGGAGAGTGGCGGTATGGCTGACCTTCACCTCATAGGGATCAGCCTTGGGCTGATTATTCTCTCTCTTCCTCCTGAAGTTAGACTGTCTCTGATGCTAACACCACGTTAGAGGGAGACTTGATAAACACATTCTCTTTCCGGAGGCCATAGCTGTAAGTCTTGGAGATGACATCGAAGGTGGCCTTGACAAAGCTACCAAAGTGAAGTGCAGCGCTGGATGCATAAAATATGTTTGCTTTTCATTTGTATGTGTTTGTGTATGTTTATGCATGCTCAGAAAATAATGCTTTCTGAACAAGGAGAATGCGGTTCTATCTGCTTTCATTTCAGCAGTTGGCGGTTTTGAAAATAAAGAAGTGATTCTGGCATGTTTCTGTTACTTCCCCAAGAAGGTCTCTGGGACTGGATTGCATCAGGAAGGAGACTGTCAATGAGCTTAAGGAAGAAATGCGGAGACAAAGCTGTGATCAGGAAAAATAGTAGCAATGATGGCAAGGGAAACAGGAGCATGCTTTGAGGTAAGGAAGCCCAGGCAAGGTTGTAAGAATAAGACGAGCAGGGAGAGCAACAGCCAGGGGAGTCAACAGAAATGAAGCAAGGGATAGGATACAGTTGAGTTGGATCTAGGAAACTCACTTCACAAACAGGGGTGTTTTGGTATACCCCTTTAGTGCACTCCCTCTGTAACGTGGTTCCTTAAGAAGTTTGTAGAAATGGATGCCATTTCCCTTCATCTTCACCTCCATTTACACTCCCTGATTTCTCTGGGTTCTCTAGGTAAACATGGAACGATGCATTATGTTCTGAAGTGTTAATGAGGTAGGATATCTTTGGTGTGCTCCTGAGTGCTACAAGTGTCTGCTTGCCACTGACAGCCCACTCCACATTGGAGCTATCAAAAATTCTGGTACCTCAGCTGTACGTCTGATGACTCACAGGATCAGTGGTGGACAAAGGCAGGTGACTAAAAAGATCTTATGGAGTCCTGGTGGCACAGTGGTTAAGAGCTCGGCTGCTAACCAAAAGACTGGCGGTTCAAATCCATCAGCTGTTCCTTGGAAACTCTTCAGGGTAGTTCTACTCTGTCCTGTAGGGTCACTATGAGTCAGAACCGACTCAGTGGCAATGGGTTTTGTTTTGTTTTTGGTTTATGGGCTGCTAACTCAGGAGCAGCTTTATACAAGGCAGTACACAAGTGTATTTTCAAACAGAAGAATAGCAACCATGCTAAATTCACTTGCTAAATCTAATGGTTTGTCTCTAATGTGTTGAAATTCTAAGCCCTGTACCTGTAAATATGACACTATTTGGAAATAGGCATTTCCTTTTGTTATGCTGTATCAACTTGAAGGTAACTGGTTTTTGTTACGTTATTGAGATCATACCAGAGTAGAGTGGGTCCTAAGCCTAATCACTTCAGAGGTATAAAAACAGCAGAATAGACACTGAGACACGCACAGGGGGAAGACACCATATGAAGACAGACACACACACCGGATGCATCTACAGGCCCAGAAACATCAAGGATTGCCAGCTACTAGAAGCTAAAAGAGACAAAGAAAGATCTCCTCCTAGAGCCATGCCCTGAATTCGGAGTTCTAGACTTCTGAACTGTGAGAAAATAAATTTCTGTTCTTTAAAGCCACCACTTGTAGTATTTTTTGTTACAGCAGCACTAGGTAACTAAGACAAGATTCTTTTGGGTTTTCTATGTACATATTCATGACCTCTGCAAATAATGACAGTTTCATTTGTTCTACACTAATACTTACAGGCCTTTTATTTCCTTCTCTTCACAGGTTGCTGTAGGATTTTTGTAAATAATTTTTAT